TATGTTAAGCTTAATAATTGGTTTTGATTCCCGTGTTATATTGTATTCGTGATGTAAAAATAAATCTCAAAATTAAATTGATATTGGAATTTGTAAAATAAAATAAAATTTTATTAATTTTAAAAAATTGAAATAGTAGGGACCAAGTTTAACATTAAAAACAAAAAAACAACCATTTTCCCGTTTTTATTGTTCATGAAGTGCGTGAAACTATAGCTTGGTCACTAAAGATTTTACCTTGTCATTTTTGGCCCTGAAGCATAAAGAGTTTCACGTTTCAATCCTATATTTTATTTATTTACATGTTTCACTCCTTGGAATTACGTTATATTACAATTATTACGTACTACTATGAAAGATGATATTTTTTTCACCATGCAAGGCTCCATTATTCATCCTCTCACACAGATAAATTATGTAAGATTTTATGTTTTTTCAATTTGATTTTCAAATTTTTTTTTCCCTTATGATTTATTTTTAATTAAACACAAATTTATTTTAATTTCTTATGAAAAGATGAGATTAAAAGAAGAGAGAACAAAATAAAAAAGACGTCAAATATAAATGACATGCCATAAGTTTTGCAAAAGATATACTTTGATTTTTTAATTTTAAAAATCACATAAATTATAAAATTTCAATACCTCAATATTTTACAATTCAGTTTTGATATAAAAATTCATTCTTGTTATTTTTTATTCTTTAATTGAGAGATAAAAGAGAGAGGTTGTCTAATTCCAGTAATAGAGAGAGAAAAGCGTCGCTAACACCAATTTAAACTACCAAAACATACTATATTTATGTCAAATGATTTTATTTAATGATAAAAGTTTGTATTAGATGTTTTTGTACTTTTTAAGTTAATGAAAAAACATATATAAACTCAAATTGATTTTTATATTCAGGTTGATTTTGATTTTTAAAGAGGCTTTTTGGGTTTTTTAAGGTCATAGATAAGTTTATCACGGTTCATACGGTGCTGTATATATGTTTTGGGTAAAAACTAGGTTGAAAAACAAGTTTTTGATTTAAATATTTAAGAGCCAGGCAAGTTGGTCTGGCTGAGCTTGTTAGGCTCAACAGCATTTGACCTCTGCTCTTTTTTTTTTTAATTAGTAATTTTTATGGTTTTTTTAAATATTTTTAATTTATATTTAAATTACTACCTTTCGCTATTTTATTTTGTTTAGAGAGCCTATTTTAAATTATAATTATTTTTTTTAGTTATGTATTTAAATTTAAAGAATTTTTTTGATTGATCTATAATTGTTTTTTATCTTTTGTATGAATGAACTTTATTTTTTTAAGAAAAAATATTTTTAGATGATATTTCTAATATGAATAGCCTTACATGATGTCTTTTTTTTTTCCTTTTATTTTATTTGATTAATTTAATTTGTGTTTCTATTTCTATTATTTTTTGTTTAAATAAAAAGTTATTTTAATAAATAAATTTAGCGAATACAACCTGATAAATATCCTATCTTTCGAGATTACATATCTTGTTTTAAATATATTTCTAAATTTTTCAAGTTTTATTGTTAGGTATCATTAATTACTTTTTATTTATTTATTTGTACATATCATTCTTTATTTAATTACATGTATGTATTAAATTTATGATTTGAACTTAAACTTTTTTAATTACAAAAATATATTAAAAAAATTTGTATATTTAATTTTTTATATGAAATAAAAATATCTAACACATAACTAGTTAATAAAATCAATGAAGGTAAATTACTATTGCATTAATAATGACACTACATTCAGGCTCACTATGGACTGTTATAGCATGCTTGATTCAACTTTTTTTTTTTTTTTGTGTCCATAAACAATTATTCAATTTCTGTCTTTTCTTTCAATTTCATTATTTACATTATGATTATACTGTGTTAAGCCAAATAATTAGTTTTTGTTTGTATGCTCCATTATATTCACAATATAAAAAAGAAGTATAGGCATTAATTGATGCTTAATTTTGCAAAAAAAAATTAATTTTATCAATTTAAAAAAATTAAAACAATAAAAATTAAATTTAACAAGAAAATAAAAACAACCCTTTCATTTTCTTTATTGTTCATGGGCACATTGAATTATAGTTTGGTTCCTGAAGTTTATACCTTTATATTATACTTGATGTTTTAAGAGTTTTATATTTTAATTTTATATTTTATTTATTTTATGTTTAAGTTTTTAAATTTTGAGAGAAAAGAAAAGGAATCGTTAAAAAATAAAAGATGAAAGAGAAAGTGGTTGGTTGGTTATATTAATTTCAACCATTAAAAAGGGTTAATCTTAGTGTTCATCGGTTCGAGTTGGAGAAAAAAATTCAATAAAAATATTGTTTTTTCTTTAAAAAATAGATCTAAATATGTAAAGTTTTTTTTTTACATTTTGTTTTTTTAAAAGTGGTTATTGGCTTTTTTGAAGAGTAGAAATTAATAGTTTCTAAGATATTTTTAAAGTAAAAACAAGTTAAAAATTAAAATTTTAAAATAAAAAAACTCAAGAGTGATGTTTTGATCATTAAAAGTGGCTAGAAAGTTGACAAGGAGATAAAATTTCATTAACTATTTAGAGAAAACTTGAGCAGACAGCATGCGGGCGGCTTGTTGGCTTTTTTTAGATGTATATTATTTTTTTTCAAGTTTTTAACAAAAAAATTTCTTTAAATTATATTTTTTAAAAAATATTATTACAGTGATTGTTCAATTATATCATTCTTTTTAAAAAGGTTAGGAATTTTTTTATAATAATAGTATCGATTGTTTTATGAATAATTATGTATTAGCCTATTAATTTAGAGTTCTTAAAATAATTTGCTCATTAATATTTAATGGCAACAAATAAATTTTTGTATATTATTTTCTAAAACTTATTGTTCTTAATATTTTTCATGTAAATGTGTAAAAATAATCAATTCAAGATTTTTTATCTTTTTAATTGAGATTTAATTTTATTATTATATAATAAGTTTAAAAAACAATACTTTTCATAAAAAAATATTTTTTAATCAAAATAAAAAATAAATTCATGAATAAAAAAAATATATTTATTAAAAATATATGATCTTTCCTCTTAGCTCTAAGTATTATAGTTTTTTGAGAATATCTTTTTTAATTGCTATTGTTTTTTATTCAATGAATTATATTGGTAATAAAAAAATTGTTTTGTTCTTAAGAAAATACATGAATCAGGAAAAAAAAACAATTTGAAAAAAAATTATCCCCCATCATCTTATTAATTATATTTTTATAATTAGATAATTAAATAAAAAATAAGTTCTGAAAATTTCCTAGAATAGCACGCAACCACTGTCACTTCTTCCCAACTCAGAGGAAGCGCATAGAATACTAGAGAAGAATAATTTCTAAATACGGATAATGCTATAATGGGACCACGTAATAAGAATGTATTTTTATGCATTAGTAGCCACGGATATCAGCAATGGTTCAAAACAAAAGTTCCTTCGTGGAACGAAACTCTGCGTTTGTCTTCTCTTATTGGAACCTTGCTATGTGATATTGATGACAATATTATATTTTAAAAATATTAAAATATTTTTATTTTTTATTTTACTTTAAATTAATATTTTTAAATTATTTTAATGTGTTGATATTAAAAATAAATTTTTAAAAAATAAAAATATTATTTTAATATATTTTATATTAAAAAATTATCTTAATCCAATAACAGTTACATTAAATTTTATAATATAATTTATATTATTATTTAATATTTTAAAATAAAAAATATTTTTAAAAAATAACTACAACTACACCCATCAAAACTATACACAATTGCTCGCCAGAAAAGTCAAGCATATTAATTGATAAAGCCATTTTTTAACGTGTTGATATTAGGTTTGAAAGTGAGTTTGAGAAGTAAAAGCATTAATTTGGTGTTTTTTTTTTAAATATTTTTTATTTTTATATTTTAAAAAAATTAAATTTATATTTAAATTTTTTTATTTTGAATTCATTATTTTGTGTTTTTATATTATTTTAATATACTAATATCAAAAATAACTTTTAAAAATAAAAAATATTATTTTAATATATTTTAAAATAAAAAATATTTTAAAAAATAAATATAACCATGCACCTGAACATATTAATATTGTAATATAATTGCCCGCCAAAAAAGTCAAGCATATTAATTTATAAAGCCGTTTGGTAACGTGTTTATATCAGGTTTGAAAGTGAGTTTGAGAAGTAAAAGCATTAATTTGGTTTTTTTTAAAGAAATTGTTTTTTTATATTTTTAAAATATTTTAAAAAAATCAAAATTTTATTTGATTAATGTCAAAAATAAATTAATTTTAAAAATAAAAAATATTATTTTAATATATTTATATTAAACACTTTAAAAATTAATCGTTGCTACAGGAAAAAAAAATTTGTTGAAAACATTTTTTTAAGAAAATGATATTAAAAAAATATATAATTATGTATTTACTTGATGTTATCTAGCTTGGTAATTCTTTTTTGTATATAGTAATATGACGTCTCTGCAACTCTCACCTTCAATGAAGAAGGGAATTAAAAAAAAGAAAAAAAAAAGGACAAGATCAGATAATAATATGACCTTGCATTAGAACAACTTCATTTATGTCGGCATCGATGTTTTCTCCCCTCTACCTCTCTCGTGAAATAAAAGGGAAAATGAGGGCCCTAACCTCCTTCTAAGTTCAATGCATGGCTCTTCAATTTCCCAAATCATTGGTATAAGAGAAATTTCAACTTCAATTTTTTTCTTGAGTCATTAACATATAATTTTATCATTTTTCTTTTTTGATGATCAAGTAATTTATCAATTAAACTAGATATTTAGTTTATATATGACAAATTAATTTAGTCAAGGAATCAAGGCAGATAATTAATCAGCACCCCAGTTGCATCCTTATAATTTTTCCTTCGTTTGATTATAAAAAATATATTCAAACTTGAGATGCCTTGCACAATGGGTTTCACACAGGAGGGGGAAAAAACCTCCACATCCATATGAGAAATTGTAGCTTTCCTCGGGAAGCAAATACTATATACGATGACAATTAAACAGTGAAAGAGGGGCTGTATTTTCAACATAGAAGGGTAGAGCGGCAGCACTCAAAGATTGAGAGTTCATATTTCAGAAGGCAAGAAAGTGCTTCTCAGTGAGGAGACAAAGACAGAGACAGCTGACGAATAGGAGATTGTATATAGATATAGATATAGATATCAGATTCTTCCTTCTAAAACCTCTAGCAAGTTGCTCGTTCAATTCCTGGTGAAATTTATTAACGGCCCGGGGGCTCAAATTCTCACTTCCCAAAACAAGAAGGAAAATCCTTGAAGTTTCGCAAAGATGCGGAGCATGACAAGCTCCACCTCCAGTAAAGGCATCGCAGCCATTGTAGGCGTTGGACCGAAGCTCGGCCGATCCATTGCCCGCAAGTTTGCCCATGAAGGTTACACTGTTGCCATCCTTGCCCGGGACTTAGGTACTTTATCTAGCTCTCTCATACTCTATCCTTCACTTGTTTTTGCTCCCAAGAAAAAGATAGGGGAAACAGCATTATCAACGCTATTTTATAGAAAAAAATTCTAATTCTTTTGCTAGTAATCAATGATTTTGCTGGATGCTTTTGAAAGTGCAGCAGAATTTCACACCACATATTCCTGCAGTTTAATTAGCTTCCCTGGACGAGAAGAAAAGGATTTACATTTTTTCGAACTAATATGTTTTGCTTTTGCTAACAATTAGTTTACTTGTATAGAGATTAGTAAATGAAGAAGACCATATACGTTCTACTCTCAATCAATTCATATCTTTTAGCCGTATATAATAAATTGCTTGACATTTGATACATGTAAAAGAAGAATCGAACTTGAAGATGTTGTAAATTAGAACTTGTCGGGGACTGAAAGCGAAGGCGAGAAAGAGATTTTTGAGCTAATTGGATAATAGAGTGAGATATGGGTTTTGTAGGGAGGTTATCAAGATTTGCAGATGAGATAGCAAGGGAGGAGAAAGCTCAAGTTTTTGCCATCAGGATAGACTGCTCGGATTCAAGAAGTGTGAGAGAGGCATTTGAGGGTGTTCTTTCACTTGGCTTTGTAGAAGTACTCGTCTACAATGCCTATCAACCAGCAGTCTCTCCACAACCCACCAAGTTCACCGATATTTGCATCGACTCTTTCGTGAAGTCCCTCGCAATCTCCTCCGTCGGTGCCTTCCTTTGCGCCCAACAGGTATTCCTTTAATTCCCTCAAATTTGCCAAAACCAAAAGCCTATTACCATGAACGTTTTCCATTTTCAAGAATCTTAAGGCTTCTTGTTTTTTCAGTATGTTATGTGGGTTCTGTTAATGGAAATACACAGGTTCTTCCAGGCATGGTAGAGAGAGGGAGAGGGACAATTCTTTTCACCGGCTGTTCAGGTTCTTTAAATGGCTTTGCTTGTTTATCTGAACAGTGTAAGAACTCCATCTTAAGATATCCCGAATTGAATTTTGAGAAGAATACCACTTTATTCTCTTATATATACATGTTATCTGCTAAGTATGCAGGACTTATTTATTTGCCCCCAAAATACAGGTTGTGGAAAGTTTGCCTTAAGAGCTCTATCACAATGCTTAGCCAGGGAGTTCCAGTCTCAAGGTGTGCACGTTGCACATGTTATCATCGATGGTGTGATTGGCCCACCTACACCTAGGTAGGTTTTATCTTCATCCTGACCTTCCTTCCTTTTCCTTTAAAAGTATCTATTTTATCTTTCATATTCTCAACAATATAACAGAAGACAGCAAGATTCTAAATTCCTTACTTTTCTCTCCAAAACACTTTACTTTCATCGATTATTGATTCATTACCAGCCATAAAAAGAAAGAGATGAGTTTGATATCTGAATTCCTACTAGATTCTTTTTTACCGAAGCGAAACACCATTACACAGTCGAATTACACCTCAATGACAAAATGAGCATGATGGTTGTTGTCCATGTAAAGTGTGAGACAGTCCTATTACTAGTTCATTATACACAGTAACCACCAAAATACATGGATGGATATCCATTCTATGTGGGAGCGATTGTTCAAAGTGCTATTCTCCCAATGAACAAACAAAAGCAAAGATATTTTCATAAAAACTTGATTCATTTATGAAAATGGTTGATAAATAGCTGTCAATGAAAAGGGATAATGATGAGCAATTAATGAAAGAGAAGGAAAATTGGCAATCGTAGGGGACCACCAAGCTCTCAGAGAACGTCAGCTGGGGAACAACAGCAACAGCAGCAACATGGTATGGCCGGTGGAGGTGGAGAGATGATGATGGACCCAGACTCGCTGGCTCAAACCTACTGGCATTTGCATGTTCAAGGCCGGACTGCTTGGACCCAGGAGATCGACCTCCGTCCCTCTAACTCCATCAACCCCAGATCCTGTTAGTCCCAAAGCTACGTGAACACGTCTTTCCCTTCCATCATTCACTCACCTTATCATCACTATCACAATCATGATCTATTAATTTCTATGACGAGCAACACTAAATTTCTCTCATTATGTATGGTTGTCATTGTTATTTTGAGTTCTTGTAGCTCTTATACCCCAGGCTACACTGTTTTATTCCGTGTCCAT